AACAATGAAATCTCCTATCTTCCGTCTTGTGGTGAAGAGGTCTAACTCAGTCTTAAATGAGTTGTGTGAAATGTAGAGTCATGTACTTGATGTCATTTTTTCCATCGTTCGGCTTATAAATTGACTGTATCAATAAATGTATCTCTTATTTCCCATACCATATGTGGTTATACATATATTCTAATGAGTCCAATATGCTCTTGTTGCAAGCTCATATCTCAACAAGAAAAGAAAGATGAAGACAAACCATTCGGTTTTATCACTTCTCTTTCCTTTGGCTCCATCTAATAAGTTACTTAGACATTGTTAAATATGCTAATAGCCACTATCAATTTATAGCAGCTCTCAAGAATGGCAAGCATTTACTACTGGTCGTACACTTAATTGCGGCTACATATCTGGATTTTCAGCTACATCTGTAGCCTCATTTACCGTCGTTTCCTTCGATTTGTTACTTAATTATATAATCCAGTCAGTCAAGGAAAAGCAGGATGGAAACTTGGCATGGAGGTTCTTAAATATCTGTGGGAAGAAGTCGATCAAAAAGATACAAAAATAAATTATCTTGTTCCATTTCTCACGATAATAAACGAGGGAAATATTGCTATCGCGAGAATATCGAAATCAAGGTATTTTTTGGGCATTATATATATTAAGGTATTTGAGAGAAACGAAAATTTTTCCAAATCGTTTTTATTTTTTCTGACTTTTTTTACCATTTTACTATTGTTTTCTAAATGTAAATATGGTCTTCTAACAGTAGAATTTCAAAACATTACGTAACATTTCTGGTGTAATCATACTAAATGCTTCCATTACACGTTCTCGTAACTGCTGCTCAGTTTCATAAGTATGCTGATAAACTTGTTTTTTCATAAAACCCCAAACAAAAAAGTCCAAAGGAGTTAACTCTGGGGAACGCGCTTCACTGAAGGTTGCACTCCACCAACAGCTGCCAAAGGTAAATTATCCATGCATTCTTCTAGATCATGTTGCATCAATTGAAGGTACCACTCTGCAGTTAAAAAGTTGTGGTAAATAAAAGGTTCCTAGAAAACGTTCTTGATGGATACTTTTTTAGCCCTCAGATTTTCTTGAGCTCAGTGTTGCGGTGATTGAAGATACCATTATTAGTGACTATCCTCTCGTCGGACTGTATTATTTTTGAAGGGAGATTAAAATCTTCTTCACTTGTTCGTGTGGCCTAGTCACATAAGTGCTGGCGCCGTACGCCATCCACTGGTCTAAGTACTTGGCAAATCCTGAATTTATAGAGGTGATATCTATTTTTACACAAAATAAGTTGGGCAGTGGATTTGATTGCTCCTACATTTTTCTCAATTTGCCTCGTTGACATCTCAGAGTTCTCAGCAACTGATTGTAAAATATTAAAGATTCCTTTTTTCCAGACGTAACAAGCTTTTTCAATGAACCATATTCATTTAAATTTCGGGTCAACTCTAAGCAAATGGACTTATTTGGCTATTGACGGAAATCAAAAACTAAATTCGCTTTTCACAAGTGATGTATGTAATATTGTCTTAAATGTATCGGAGAAAGAAGTCAGTCTTGTCTTGTATATTGACGGTATTTAAGTGTTGAACGTTGGAGGTTGGGCGTTTTTGATCATGTTTACATCGAAAAACATCAAATATAAAGAAGAAACCATCAAAATCCCCCAAAAAATATTTTTTTGATTTTACCTTCTTTTAAATAACTCCTCTTCTATAAGTTTTTTCACTATAAATGTCCGCAATTACTGGACTGTGAAGATTATTGCTCTTCCTTGGGAATAACGTGGCCTTCTGTTCAGTTTCAGACTGTTATTATTCTTACGATTTTGATTGAATTAGATACGATTCCTCGTTCGTAATAATAATATTTTAATTCTATAGAAATTAATTTCTATGTTGCTATCAGTCCGTTAATGTGCAGATAATTTGTCTTAATATAGAATAATGATTCATATTGAACATCGTATCTTTACTGCCTCACTAGCTGTTACCCGCGGCTTTGTACCCAACACTGTTAAAGTAACCAATATCTTCAAATTAATACGTTACAATAATCCAAATCTTACATTGTAAATGTTACCTTTCTGCAAATTTTCGTGCCTCTAGTCATAAAAGATAGACTTGTATTGAATTGTGATAGGCCCTATTACAAAAATCTATCTTTAGTTAAGGTTGACTCTTAAGAACCTCATTGGTGAATTCCTATCAACCTAACTTCAAAAGTGATAAGAAATCTTCTGCCCGATCCTAAAAATATTGTTTCTGGTATTCCCTATTCAATGTTTATTTTAAAGATCAACTTTTGGTCAAAACACTCCAACTTCAAGAGTGGTTTAATTTAAAACTTTTGAGATTCAGCTTCAAAGTGTTAACCGATGCTTCATCCGCTGAGGGTAGAATTTCCAAGATTCGTTTGTAAGTGCTCATTTACATAGTATCATAAAAAAACTAGATTTGTATCCCTAGCTTAGACTCACTTTAGATCCCCCATCACCACAAATGATAGTTTGAAAAAACTATAAAAAACACGCTTGTATAGCTAACCGAATTAAAAAGTGGAAAATAATTTTTAATTATAAATAGTTTATCACTCATAATTAATGACCTCAAAATAAAATTATAATAACATTTAAGTTATTAACAGAATAATTCAATTCAGGATAAGAAGCGTGGGGTGCATTTTATTACATTTTCATAATTCTCCTCTCATAGATAGTTGCCACGCTTTTTACTCTGAATTGGATTATTCTGTTAATAACTTAAATTTGGTTTTGAGGTCATTAATTATGATTGTTCGACCGTCTACTACTGTAATGTAAACTGTTTGTAACTAAAAATTGTTTTCTACTTTTTAGTTCGGTTAAGCTATAAAAGCGCGTTTTTTTAGTTTTCCAAGCTATTATTTATTTTTCATTTTTTAGTTCGATTTATCAATAAGTTTTTTTTATTAAGACTCGTTATTGTACGTTAATCAATAAGACTTTATAATTACAAATTCTTTAATCGTATTAAATTCATTCTTTATCGACTGTGAATTCATAACTTTGCTGATTATCACATTTTGTTCCGTGAAATAGATTGAAATTTATATTCTGATCACTCTGTTGTGAATAAGACGCCTTTTGTGAATCACGGGTATCATATAGTATCGTCGCCTCAATGCAGAACTATTGTAAGTCAAGCAAATTTTACAGGAGAAGGTATTTTTTGTTTTTTTCTTAAACTAAATTATATTTGTCAATGAAAGTCATGAATCTATATTAAAATTAAAGTACGAGATTAATGCTAATAACTTTTAGACTCTATGTTTATGAATAATCAAATTTATGGACTTAAAATATTACATAACAATTTAGGTATTGTAAGTCCCTATTTGTGGACTTACAATAGATAATAAAATGTGACTTACAATAGTTCTAAAATAAAAGCAAAATCTTTGGTAAACAAAACTTATATTTCTTTTATGTTTTATAACTTATCATTTTATTTTTATATAAAAATAAAATATATAGGTATTTTAAGGATTCTATAACAACTCAAAATTTCCAAACAAAAACTAAGAAATTATGTTGAATTAAATAAAAGAACACACTGTTCAAAACTTACAACCTAATAGGAATCAGGATTTATAGGAGAAACCTTATAGGGACCTAATTATACATTTTAGAATTAAACCTAAAAAAATAACATAACATGGAAATTTAACTAAGTATTTTCAAATAGGTTATTCACTGTCCTCATCGTTTTTATTAGATTGAGTTGTAAACGGTAAAGCTTTAAAAAATCATGATACGGAGTAGTTATGACTCCTTTTTCACAGAGATAGATTAAATGGTCATACTTTTTCTTTTGAAGAGGATTTTTTTTATCATAGAGACATTTGAGGTGTACATCACAAACCTAAATATTAACTTTTTTCCTTCCCTTTTCTAACAAATTTATTTTCTTAAAAGCACCGTCATACTGTGTTTTAAAAAATAAAACATTTGAGACGTTTGGATCAAACATGACTATTTTAAACTTATTTGTGTAAACTTTATCGTTATCCTCGTCTCTATCAAAATTAATAGCTGTTTTTATTTGAAGATCTTTTAAGTTATATACCTCATCTTGAGATAACTCATGGACGCAATATAATGGTGATTTTTTCTTAGCCGTTCTTAATAGTGTATACCATTGATCTGGTGTAAATATTGGAATGTTTCTGGAGGCCCTTTCAATGACGCTGTGGACACTATCGCCTTCAGATTGGGTACGTCCAGGTTCAAGAAATGTATGGCGAATTGTTATAGAGTATTTCTGCGATAAATAGTTATATAAAGCAAAAATAAATTTGTTTCGGTTTTGCCCGGCGCAATTGTCCGAATAAAAGGAAAACTCTCTAGCTCCTTTTTTTACTTGACTTTCAACAAAGAGCAACAAACAGCTACCTATTTCAGATGAGCCCCTTTTACCAATTGACTCATACCACATATAACATTGACATTCTTTAGTGGCTAGGTTAAAGATTGTAAAATTATAGGTAGATAATTTAAGCTTTAATAGGCCAAACCTACATTTGATTGGGGTACTGGCAGAACTTGTTGAAGGTCATAAACAGCCACACACAAAGATTTTTTTTGAGAACCCATATCTTTGTCTTTTTCTTTTAACTCTCGAGCTATTTTTTTATTTTTGTCGTGCAACAAATACTGCTCTTCCATTTTTGCTTTTTCCTCCACCGATGAGTTGTCATATGTGTGACAAGTATCGCACAAATCTTTTTTGGGTTGGAAAAATGAAAGGTTAAATTCCCTGTTAAATATTTCCCGGTAAATACTTTCAGAAGCTGGTTTAGCAATGTGATTTTCTGTACAAAACTCTTGATAAAAAGCGTACATTTTAGAAATATCTAAGGAAGATGGTACATATTTTCGCTCAGTAGACATTCGGCAGTAATGGCTTTCGATCGTTTCGCAGGAATTTATATGAGATCTTACCGAATCTTTAATTGTCTAGCTGAGAGTTTTTACAGGCTTTGCCTCTTCTATCTTCGGTTACAACACCAGTACTTCCATCTTCTGAAATACGGTCTCTACCATGTCCACTTATACTCAACGTATTTAGAAAAAATGTTTTACATACTGGAACTGTTTTTCCGTTGTATGTGAGCATGTATCTATAAGTAACTAGCCTTCTGCAAGCTAAGTTGTCATGTTCTGATTTTTTTGATCTCGGACGAGAACGTTGTGTATTTTGAACACTAACCTCCTTGGCAATATAATCATGCTGTCTATTAATGTCCTGTAAATCCCAAAAAGCTTTAAATATTGCAGAGCGTTCTTCTTCTGAGAAGTTCTCATTGCATCTCTTTCTACAATTTTGACAAGCCGGCTTGATACTCCTTTTATTCTGAAAATTTCCATTCCAGTTTTTGTATTCAGCTCCACTATTCCTGGCAGATTTAATAATATTTCTTTTCCAACCACTCTTCTGCCTTTTCCTTTTCCTTGTTTTGCTTTTACCCTCAACATCAGCCTGATTTTCTTGCACATCCTCGTTTTCATCCGAGGGAACGAAATCGGGATCTTCGCTACTGGAATTCGCAAACGGATCTTCTAACTCTGATCTTAAAGATAGTTGATCACTTAGCTCATGATCTTCGACATTAACTTGTTCTTTAATATCGTGTTTTTGTTGTGCAAATAGCTCAGAGCCATTGCTTTGGAGGGAGTTAAAGAGGGAGCCAAAATTTGTATCAGCAATTAGCGTCGTTGTTTCATATGGAATTAAAGATGAAGGAGGTTGTATATTAGCGGAGTCCATCATAAGTTTTGAGAAACATTTCTCTTTGGAAAAATGAGGATCTGGAAGTAATAAATAAAGAGTTGCTTTTATTATTTCTAGATTTGTCAGAGTCCAAGTTTTATTACCAACGTTAGGGTTACTAGAGTCCGCCAAGTTAAGGATTGGTACAGCCACGTGTTTCAAGCTTGCCGAAGTTTTTATCCTATTAAAGCCGCGGTAGGTAATAGTGGCGTGCCAATTTTTTCGTATACAGTAAAAATATATCATAAATCAATAAACGAAAAACTTCTGTCACTCCAACCAATCACGCCTTTACAAGGGTAACAACTTCGACAAGCTTGAAACACGTGGCTGTACCAAAACTTAACTTGGCGGACTCTAAAACTTAAAAAAAATTAACAAAAAAGTTTTTTGTTGGTTTAAATATAATATACTACTACCTAATTATAATTAAGGATAATTAAAAAAAGACAAAAAAAAATTAATTTAATTTTATATTAAATATACCTAAATGTAAAAATATATATTAAATATACCTAAATGTAAACCAATGTTTAAAAAAAACATAATTTTTAGAGCCTTACCTGGGGCATTAGTGAATTTTAAATGTGATGCTTCTGGTAAAGACTGTGAAAAGTTGACTTTAGCATCACATATTTCGGGTTCTCCTGATTTGGTATTATTTTTTGCAGGAACCTGAATACTGTTCAAGAAAGACAGAGGTTTAAGTGGTTCTAAAAAAAACAAGCTTTTTAATAATTATAAAAACTACATTATATTCTACTATTAGATATTAATCTAATAGTAGAATTAGTAAATAATAATATAATAGTAAATTAATAAATAATAAAATAATAGTATAATAGTAGAACTCTTTAATTAAAATTTAATAACTGGGATATTAACTTACCTCTTTTATCACTGGATGTTTTTTCAACAAATCAAAAATTTTATCTCTTCTGGTAGTCATTATTAATAATATTCTTTTAATTTTCACTGTAATTTTTAAATAATTCTAAGTCCGTCAACCCAATATTGTATGTCCAGGCAAACAGCTTAGAACTATATACTAGTCCACATTTCCTCTCAACATGCAATACCCTCTCTACTTATCGTAGTTCTGCACCGGACTGACGCGCCTTGGGCTATTACACCAAATATATCAAAAATCGAGCGGAGGGGGGAAATGCTGCGCGTGGACTTCCAATACTTCTGCATCCAATAAATATGGCTTCAAGCTATTATGTAATGTAATAAACGGATTTTCTCAAAATTTGGACTTACAATAGTTCTGCATTGAGGCGACGATATATTATAAACAGTAATTTGTGTGTATTAGACTCATTAGTACCTAGGTATGTATAAGGAATGAACAAGGTGAGAATGCACTACCTTGAAAAAGTACCTGCCTCAGGTGCGCTGTGCCGAGTGTCCGAACCAACAAAAAGTAAGTCCGGAACTGCACGCATGCGCAGATCGCGCGCTAGCTCTATCTCTACTCCCATGCAGAAGATCTATAAAAGAATTTATCAATCCTGACGGTCCGAATAAGGATAATAGAACACTGTTATCAAATTATAGCATTGTCATCGGTCCTTGATACGTGTGCGAAGTTCCAAATTAATCAAACTACTGGAAATTGGCGAATATGCTCAAAGATACCTACGTACATACAGGCCAAGGTTATAAAAGCGTGTTAAAAACATAACGGATTTTCTGAGCACATTTTTCGGAAATTTTAACACCTAACTTCTCGAAACCAAACAGGTTCAGTCTATATTCTGTAGTGTGATCCAGCTCGCTCTGGAAAGGAGGAAACATTAAATATAATCGATGATTACAGTTTTCTAGCCTGGCAGTAATTGGCTTTTCGTTCTCAAATTAATTTTATTACATCTGACACTCGGTATATATGGGAAAAGAATGTATGATAGATATGAGTACGGATGACCGTTTGTACAACATTATTTCTCACTATAATTACTGGTTGTTAGTAGCCTCATCGATATGTGTTTCTCAACAGTTGTATCATTATACAATTCGTGATCGCTCTCCAGACCCTTAAGAAATAACGTTTCACTTTAATTATCATTTTAATTTACCAAATCAGGATAATTTACATCTTACTGTTGTTAAGTATGGTTTGAGTGCTTGATAATAAGAAGACGTAGAGATAAAGAAACACGAATGACAGTTGAGTTTGATTTTCAGGCATGGACACGCCAGTCGCATGTGGTAGTCACCACAGTAGCAACCTTGTGTGAAAAAATAACATCCGAGCAGTACGACTCAAGTTATATACGGTCCAAGGATTAGCGGACAGACAAACCGACAGACAGATCCACAGACAGACCCACAGGCAGACCGACAGACAGACATACTGACGATAATTAGTGACATGATTTTTCTTGATGTGCCGTAACAAACTTAAAAGTTTTCGCGATCACAATACTTGCTTTCTCCAGTGGCGTATGCCCATAGGTTCTCAGAAACACTTTTTAAAGAAAGTTTTCTGAACAACTTCCTGCATTATATCTAGTAGATACAGCGCAGAAAATTTCAACATTCTGTTAACGGGGATTGACGTTTTTGTAGTTTATTTTTATTATATTTTGTTTGATCTCTATCAACCGATGTTTTGGATAGATGAGGGAACATGCATATTTTGCAACTTCTAGACATCAAAACTTAAGATCTAGTATTAGTTTGCTACTAGTTCAAATATTTGCCTTGCGTGCTATCTAAAAGGATCTCGGCAATGACGTTGCTGGAGGGTCATTTACCCTTACTGCAGGATAATAAAGCACTTTTTGCATTGAATTAGCTTTCAGTTTATCGTTATTAGGGTGTACGCCTGACGAGTTTGGAAGTTCAGAATTAATAATTATGGAACTTGACTACTAAATGAAGTTGCTGTAAAACAAAAATAATTTTTACGTTACCTACTGCTTTGAGAATGAATCGTCTGGTACTAAACGTATAATCAGCGATAGAAACAAGTAGTAAGTGTTTCTGTTACTAGGGCAATTGGGACATCTCAACTTATGTCATTTGGAGAGGTTTACTTTACGGCTCTTAAAATTGCAAAGATTCCCCAAACGAAGCCTTACAAATGGGTAATGAAATTTTTCTGGTCCTATGGTATTTAATGGTCGTTCGTGGTGGGAGAATGAGGAGATCCTTATCTTATATGGCTTCATTGTGATTTTTTTCTGTTTGATGTCTGGTTGCACAGCCTTGCTAAAGTTCACTTTATGCTAAGTTCAACCCCAACTTCAATATTTTTGTTGTTCAGGTCCACTTAAGACTTGAGTGGCACTTAATTGGACGAATGAATTGGAAAAAATCTTCTGTTTAACGTGGATTTTTTATCCTAAAGTCTTTGGTTTTGTCAACTGGAAAGGTTTGAATGTTTGAAAGATGGATACAGATATCGCAGAATTTGTTGAAGTTGACCAAGCAAATCTACTACGTATGGGATTCATCGCCAAATCCGTAATGTAATGGAATATTTTAAGTTGTGATAACAGAACACTTTCCCAAAGGCTCCGCATTACCCGACAAACGTCTCTGTACCTATTTACGACAATGACGACACCATGCAATTTTCTCATAATTGATAAGGATATATCATGTATGTACCTATATATCATCAAGTTCGTCAACTACCACAAGGATTGATTTTTGAAACACAATGCAAAAACTGTGTCTAATAGGTGCGAACATTTACAAAGACGGGGGTGTATAAAAAGTTTCAGCAGTTTTCATTCGTCTCCGTTTTTGGTCTTTTTCTCTGCCACCACTGGACCAATTTCTAGGTACTATGAAGCTTTTGCGTCCTTGGCATAGTAGTAACACTGTATAAAAATCCGAGCGGTACCTCTCAAATTATAGTATTGTCAGACAGACAGACCGATGGAGATAAGTGACATGGTTTTTATGATGTACATGTCATATAATATCCAAAAAACATAATATCTCATTTTATAAAATTTTAGTGATTACACATCTTCCCTGCCAGTAGGCGTGGGGAGTAAAATTATTATAGATGCACTATTAAGAGATGTAGGGTGTATTTCACCAGGATTGTCAAATCAACAGTCCGCCAAATACAGCGAATGAGCTTCAAGTTCTTCAAAATACTGTCAAAGTATGAGATGCCAGCTTGTTATTGAAGCATCACTAGCTTATTGAATATTATGAAATTACGTATAGTTTTGTCAAAATTTAAAAAACTGTTCGATTTTTGAATAAAATTCATGTTTTTATTTAATATTGTCGATTGTTTATTCATGTTTATATTATTTTCTTCAATCGATATGCCATTTTACTGATTCAACATCACCTACCGCGTGTTCTTTTCCTATAAACCTCTTGCAGATAGCCATTAAGCACCTACTCTACCAAAAATTTCATAAATATTGCTCGTTTCCAAACGTTCATTTATTTACTTGTATCAGTACCATTATAGCACCGTCGATTGATATTCCCACAAAACCATGCAGGATTTTTGATATCCATACCCATACTCAAATATTTTTTGGTTGTTCAGGAACTGAACAAACATGCACACTATATTTACAGCGATTAAGACATACTCAAATATATGTCGTAAAGATACCAGCAAACTTAAAACCTGCAAAAAATTGAATTTGATTGATTATTACATTTCAAAGCTCCCCAACGAGAGATACATGTGTGAGATCCTTCAACCCTTGGTCCCAGTGGAGTAAGCTCCGTCAACTGTTGAAATATTCTCTACTATGCTTTATAAGACTATACGTGGAATTTTTCCCAAAATCGTTGCACAACACTTGAAAAAATGCATCTGAAAATTTAAAATCACTTCCATGGCGCCGCAAAGTAGCTCCGTCGGTACCTCGGGTTATACATCTTGACAGTAGGGATGTTCGATACGATCCTATATTTAGAAGTATCGACACATTTCACTAGTATCGTCATCTTTCGATCCGGACTGTGTCAGAAAGAGTGACTAACTTCAGATTAATTTTCTTCTCTGTTTCCTTCCGCTGGATATCCATAATTTTATTCCAATATCGATACTTCCTAAAACGATAAGGATCGATACATAACGATACTTCGTGGATCTAAACATCTCTAATCTTGACAGCTTGTCGTTCTTGTCAGCTGGGCTAAAGTCTTATGACAAGCTTCAAATGAAATATTGACGAATATGAACGGATATGCATAGAATTCAGAATATAAATTCATATTGCAAATTTCAGATTGTCTTTGCATGGACTTGAACCGGATTTTTCGGTATGTTTGCCGAAAAGGGAATGTTTACCGATTACATCATTCTCCACGATTTTTCAAAATAATTTAAATATTTCTATACTTGCCGAAAAAGAGTTGAAACTAAAAATAAAGCTAAAAGTTAATTTTATGTATTCTTCATAGTTTTATGCCCCATATCAATCGTACATATGCATACACACTCAGGCCGTCGACCACATGAGAGGCATAGATTTGGGTTGCCTATGATTACGATCACATATCCTCATCCCTTACTCCGCTTGCCATGAATTGATTTTTGTGCATACAAAAGGTACTGACTGATAGATTACCGTCATTACCTCATCACCGGACAAGCAATAAAGAAACCAAAACCTGTCTGCTTTCAAAACAAATATTTAATTAAAATGAGAGGTCAGTTCGTGAGTTCAGGGGTAAAACAGAAAAATATTCACAATCCTATGAGCAAGAATCGAAAAAGGAGTTTCCAGAATGGTTGCAAAGTACTTTGAAAGAGCGACTAGTATGCATATTGTAGAAGTTGTAATATAGAACTATGACCTCAAAAAAAAAACATGTTGTGTGCGCGCCCAATACAATAACAGACGTTCTTCATGACGCAAAGGTCCTTGATCTACCACTGATCTTGGGACAGCATTTTCCTTATACCGAATTCAACGACACTATTTACCGATTCCGTTCTTTTGCCGGTTCGGCAACACTGCAGATGTGCAGATTACTTTAAACGCAATTGATATCCCAGACGTGTTATATTAATAGAAATAACAAGAAAATAAAACAATGTTTGGAGATATATTTTCATAAATAGGTATTTTTTGATTTTGACGATGAATAATAGGTGGATGCGGATACTTTTACAAATATCGATGTTTTAGAACCAGAGATGCAGAATGTGTTGTTTGTTTACATTTGGTGTGGATTTCTACACCATAAATTGGCAAAAATTGTATTTGATGTAACAAAAGATGATGAACCAGTTGGAATACGTTTTTATTATGAACAAAACCCTGTACGTGATATGCAGACAATACTAGATTGCCATGCATGAACAGCCGTTAAAAACAGTGAAAACATCCTACCAAAAATAATAGCTAGAAAATCGGCCAATTTTCATTGGTCCATTTAAATAACTGACCGTCTTTTTTGAAATGATAAAAATTTGAAATTCTATGAAGGTTATCCTAATTCTAAAGCACAAAGATATAATATTACATCTATAATGTACCCTTATTTATAAGGCAGCCGTTTTTTCACGACTTTATTCAACATTTCAATAGAAATCGCTGATATTCAGAGACCTTTGACAGCTTCCGTCAAATTGCGATAAGGTATTTTCCCATTGGTCCAGGCGACCGTTAAATATCAAAGTTGGTGAAATTGGCTCGTAGTATCTTAAATAACGCTTTACAAAATCGCTGTATTACAACAGTAACCCTAGTTCGGGCAGTAGATTTCAGGTGGTGATGCAACCGTGCATACGTGTAGCTAAGTTGCGCCTCATCAGTTAGATGACGTTTGTCATCTTGGTCACCCTTACGTTCGTGTACCAACACTTCCTCTTCCACAGTAACAATAGGTCCAGCATCGCGCAGCATGTGCAGATGAAACAAAACAACATCAGAGACGCAAACGCCTTTGTTGGTATGACATCACAATCCATTTCCGAACACTTGATTAACGATGTGGCTGCCAGAAAAGACGAGACCTGCCAACCATTGTTCCGAACATCGCTTAAGCATAATTATTAAATATTTTATTTTAGTCCGGGATCTCATGTACCGCGAAATGTACTTAATATGGTGAGGGTGTTTTTAATGTGCGACGTAGCTGTTGTCAGTTTATATTTCTTGGGAGGTGCTCGAGGCGGCCGAAAAGAAGCCATACAACCTAGTGGCTGCCGGTTAAGGACAAATTCAGCTTTTGATAATAATTTCGGTAACCCAGCGATGAGTAGTAACATTATTTCTCTCCAATTCGGATCATACTTAGTATTAAAAACCACCATAGATTGCTTACATATGAAGATATTTGCGAATAAAATATTCGAACTAATAGTGGTACAGCATTTAGGCTGTTGTTGCACCGCACTGAACAGCAGCGGAAAAATCAAAGGAAGGCATAAATATAAAATATATATTGTCATTGTTATTCAGTTTTGTACTTTGAAATAGTCCATCATGGTGACCGAAACGTCATCATATAGCTAGCTGTTATGGGTAAAGTTAGAATAATGATTAAACATAGGTTTACCCGGGTAAACTGCACAATACCCAGAAAAAGTGGTTAATGTCCAAAATAGTATTGAAATTTTACATATTTTGAACTTTACCCGGGTAAAACGCGTTTTATCCGCTTTAGGGTGGTTAAAGTTGGATGTAGAAATTATTATTGCATCATCTTTCACCACGTGCAGTTCTAAAATGGCAACCGAAGAAAGCGGACGCGCGCGTTAAACACAGCGTTTTTATGAAGTTTTCAATGAGTTGGTGTCTTCAAAAAGTGCAAACAGTTTTTATTTTAATAATAACAATACCAAGAAATGGTAGAATCATTCAAGTTGGCAAAAAATGCTAAAACTAACTACTCTACAATATTGTCGGTTAAAGAGGTTTGACATATGTTCTGTGAGAGGCGTTGAAAAGCTTATTTCTCGTGTACCATCAGGTGAATCTAGCATAAAATAATATGTTACAAACGATGAAATGTTTGACATTTTGCACGATGCACATTTAGCTACAGGACATGGTGGAAAACATCGTATGGAAAGTGAATGTAAGAAAACGTACAGGAACATAACTCAGGATGTTATTAAGTTATATCTGCGCTTGTGTGAAGGGTGCCAAAAAAACTTAAATCTGCCAAAAAAGGACTTGTGCTTAAACCGATGGGTTTTTGGGAGATGAACAGCCATTGTCAAGTGGACCTGATTGACATGCAATCACATCCAGATGGAGAATATAAATTTATCATGGTGTATCAGGACCATTTAACTAAGCTTGTTCAAATACGTGCATTAACATCGAAAACGGCTGAGCAAGTAGCTAAGGGCCTACAATGTGGAGTGGCCTTAAAATACTCCTTGGCAAACCACGTCATAGTCAGTCACAAGGTAGCGTGGAAAGAGAAAATCAAGATATACAAAATATGCTTATGACGTGGATGGATAATGAAAACTGCAGGCGATGGTCAGAAGGTATAAGATTTGTCCAGTTAATGAAAAATAGGGCATACTATGACGGGATAAAACTAGCTCCTTATGCTGCCATGTTTGGGCATGATATTAATGTCGGCCCATCCACATCAGCGTTTCCAAAAGAAGCTGTTGAAAATCTACGAACCGAAGAGGAGCTCGAGAAAGTTGTGGAGGAATTTGGTGTAGGTGAAGAGCTTCAAGAAGAACAAAATGAAGACCAATCTATGGACAGTAACCCAGAAACAGATAACATGCTAGAAAGTATTACTGAAGATGGAAATATGCAAAATATCAACAATAATTATAGAGAATACGCTGGTAATATGGAAACTTCAGATAATCATGGGAAATGTTCAGAGTGTGACAAACCAAGTACATCAGGGAATATATGTTGTGAACTTAGTTTGTGCCAAAAAAACATACGGTCAAACAGACTAGAGGCAAAACGAAATTTAGAAAATCGAGCAAAGAAAATGAAAGCTTTGTCTAATTCAAAGTGTCCGCCATGTTCTGTTGGAGATACAGTGAGAGTGAAAATTCCAGACGTTGATAGAGGGAGGGGTGATTTTATAAATATGCTCAAGACAGTAATCGAAAAAACTGACGACGATTTTTATAAGCTAGCAAACAAACGAGGAACTATCGAGGAGATGTTTTCCAGGAACCAATTTTCTGTGTGTAATGAGAAACTTGTAGATATGGAAAGTGTATCACTGGAGAAGAAAAGTTTACGACAACATGCAAACGAACAATCTCTTTTAGGAGGTCAAGTTTACAAACGACGCAACTGTAAAACTAAATGCATGACCAATAAGTGTATATGTAAGGCTATTGGAAATCTTTGGAGCTCAAAATGTCATAACAGCTTATCTTATTTAGACAAATATATTATAGTATCTTACACTTTGTTAGGATACAGTTTCTGTGTAACATTTGATTTTTAAAATCTGTTCTTTCAATAAAATGTGTTTTTAAAACATTTATGGCGTTATTTTTTAACATTAACCACAGGAAAGTGGATAGAACGCGGTTTACCCGTCCGAAAGATTTACAATTTCAGTAATATTTTGGACTTTACCCATGTTGTCTGGGTATTGTGCAGTTTAGCCGGGTAAACCTAAGTCCAATCATTATTTTAACTTTACCCGGAACAGAAGCTGCGGGGATTGCGCAGCGTGGGCGGACGCTTTGTGGAACCGACTTATTTATAGACCAGTCAGGTTATATCAAGTTTTACTATGCCCATATGGTAAGGAACTATTTACTATCGACTTGCTGTGTTCAAAATAAGTATTTGGAACTCTTGGTGCTACCGAAATTATTATCCAAATATTCGATTCATTCAGATGAACTAGTTTTCATCATTATTCAGAGCTGTATAACAAAATCATACCATACGTGTGTTTTTACTGTAGTGTACTGTAGAGTACTGTAGAGAGTCAGATAATATGTGAATTAACACAATAGCTCTGTCGCCGACTATAACAGTTTTTATAAATGTGGTAGAGATAGAAAAATTAGGAAAATTAAAAAATGGCGTCAAGGAGCTTGACTCTGCACTTCCTATGCAATCCCTCATCAGATTAAGTTCACAACAAGTTAAGCCGTCTGAGAGAAAAATTAGTTACAAACATGTAAAATAGAGAAATGAAATGGATCAAGTCAGTCAAACAGGCCTATACAGGTAGAATATAGACATTCTTTTGCTGCCCTACCGGCAGCTACTGTCCATCTGGCATCGATGCTCTTTCCTATATCGTCAGATGTAGCAGTGCCTACCAAAACACCGCCGCAGTACGAGTAGACCCAACTAACAATTATCACTCCTATTAGAGTTGCAAGAACGATTATACAGTCTTCCTTAAACAACATTATTGTATGCTGTAAGAACATTGGCGAAACGCTCTTAGAACAGCTATACAGGTACAAGCGGAATGGGCACACCTAATAGGACACTTCAGTCATTTAAGAGGTTGTATAAGGGCTGCAGGTAACAGTTATACAACAAAAGTGTAAACATTTGCGTCAGTGCAAGATTCAGTTTTTGTCAACTATACAACTATTCTGTTACATGATTCTGCTTTATTGCAACCAAACTATTTCGTATATATTGTATAGGCGAAGTGAAGATATATAACTAATACATTACAGTCATCTTGTTTACTTACATATCGGCCATTGTGAATTTCATACACAGGTATATGATAAACTTCTACACTACGATATAGGGCTATTGAATTACTTGCGCAGCAAATGTTATTGTGATTATCGTGCAAAGTAGTTACGCAATTTGTACGGGCTTCGTATTTGATTCATATTTTAATAATGATCAAAGGTATGTCTGATTTTTAAGATGGAAAACTGAACTTATCTGCGTTAAATCTTCCACAAATCCTATATTTAGACACAATTACACTAATGTTTATCACTTTATGTCTATAATTTCGAACTGGAACATAATTATTTAATATTAAATAGAGGAGTAAATGTTTGCCCAACATGGCGGGTGGTTGTGTATAATCATGGCATCGTCCATGTTGTCTTTAGTTTATTAGAATATTTTGGTGTTGCCTGCAGGTATTATACAAAAATTTGACAAATTAATGTCTGAAATGAAATACCGGCAGAGTCGAATGATTTACCCAGAATTTGTACCAGATCTATATCTTCTGTTTGAACAGTTGATAAAACATTTTGAACCAATATGCATGCGTTGTCTTAAAACATTGATTATGTCATTTTAACAAAAATATGACAGCAGAAAGTTAGGTTATGGTGAAGTTGTATACCAACATATTTAGCAACAAATGTATGCCGAGCACAGCAATTTTGTACTACAAAAGTTGTAATATTGTTGCATATGTACAGCCTTTAACAGTTGGGAGCAATTTGTTGGCTGAAGTGGTAAATTTGCACAGCAAAAGAGCAAGGCTCGGGTTTGTTTTATAAACGTTACCATGGCTGCTACAACACAACCATTTTGACTAACGTGCAAATGTGCCGTATAAAATAGTTGTATAAACGTTTATACAACAGTTAAAAATTTGTCCTATAAGGTGTTGTATAACTATGCTATAATAATATTTTAAACACCTCATTTTAGAGCAAATATGTTGCAGAAAGCAAATTTGCATTCCACACAACATTAAGCTAGCATTTTGGTGTTCAGGCAACAACAATAGAGAGCTTATAGTACCACTTTGCTAGTTGGGATGCCCACTGAGTAACAGACCGGCAAACTGACAGACTCACATAGTGACAGACAGACCGTTAAAAAAATATAAAAACAAACATACCTCATTTTACTGTTAAATTTGTAACCCGCCGCTTCTATCGTATTTGTGTAAGTATGAGAAACATTTTCGTTGAGCCCAAGAGAATCGAACATTTTTTGTCTAACTGTTAAAAATGTATCACAAAAGAAAGACTTTGAACCAACGCTTGTCACCTTATTGAAATGTCCAAACTTGCACATAGGTACAAAATGGTGGATATTTTGTTTTTGTGGTACATAGAATCCCGGACTATTAATTACTAAATATTCTATTTATGTACATTATCGGTGGACGCAGATGGGCATCATCCGAAGAAGAAGACCTCAATCATCCTCAAGGGCGCCGCGGAGTATCGATTAATAATGACGTAATTTTTCCTTAAACGCGTGACAGGTGCCGCATTGTTGCTGAAAAGGTCCAATTAGTAAACAGCTGTGTTCATCGTCTGCCGCCTGGACCGCCGGTACGTCAGGTTTTAGACCGGGAAGCAGTTAAAAAAACTGTTTCATTCACATCCTTTGATAAGGGATGCGGCGAAGAAGATGAAGAATACCTAGATTAACACTTCTTCAATAATCTGAATCTGACCAGCTAAAACTATGATTTATCCTTTATTTCTCTACATTGGCCGCTTTTTTTATATATTTTTAAACACACAAACTCAGTTCGCCAAGCCTTTAAAAACGTTTTCCGTTCTAAAGAAAAAACGGAAAAAGTTGGAAGTTGAGATACAGTTTTGAGATTTTCGCAATTTTGGCATTTCTGTTGATTTTGTTTTCTGACTTTCTACCCGAAGCAGTGAAAATTCAGTACCATTACAACAATAAATTGTTGAGAATGCAAATGCTTAAAAATGGTGCCGTTGGTATATTAACTCCAAACACCGCCACACCTCAAAAAATTAATCAACCCATCTTCAGTACACCTGGCACTTTGCTTCGCAAACATTGATATGAAAATTATTAGAACCCTCGCAGTTGAACAAGAACCAAAAATTAATATATACTCTCCGCCAGCCCCAAAAATCCCCAAACTCCAATTTTTAACGCCTGGAAATTTTTTTCGGAAAGTGATAACGATCTTCTGAAACGTCAATAAAACGTTTTAATTTTTTTGCCTTTAGACTCTTTCTTTGCCGCTACTGGACACTTTGAAATAGTAGTAACCTTGTGCGAATGTTTCATCAAAATCCGAGCGGTGCTTTCCAAGTTAAAGATGGATCAAGGTGGAGAAAAACATTTTTTTTTAAATTGGTGGCTGAAGATGTTCCTTTCATTTTTCAAAGTGAGCTTCTGACAAAAATGTCTCATACAAGGCGGTGAAGTTTTTTATTGCAGACATTCGGATATCAGGCATACGTCAACCAACAAAATAGTAAACAGATTATTACAGATAAAGGTCACATATAGTCAAAATCATGAAAGATGACTATTACGTCATACCATGAATTGTACTGAAGTAATCGATGGACGTACGTCGATGATAAAATCACGATGTCAGGAAGATGATGACAACAAATTTATATTATGATTTTGCGAAGATAGGCTATTTGACTGATTATTTTTATTTTATTTTTATTTCATGGTTTTGAGTGATAACTTAATAATAATTTTAGTGGGGAGTTTTTGTTTTGAAAAAAAAACACTTATGAGTAGAATACCTTACGACAGGAACACCAAAGACCAAAGTATTATTCGAAAACAACCTGACCTGCTTTAACGTAACCTAACTATTCATCTTTCAAATATGATCGATTATGCAACATGAAAACATCGACTGTCTTTGTCAGATACATGCAAATTAGCAATACAGTTTGTTTAGACAATAAAATTCTGTTTGTCTCTGAAACTTCATTAACTACAGACTAAAATGATGAAGTATTCGTCATCTTTCGTGATTTCGACTATATCGATTGTTTTGTACTTGCTCCTAGAAACTGGGTGCTGTAGTCCTCGAAGAGCAAACATGTTGGTGGTTTAGAATATTGAAAATATTATTCAATATACATTTTCAGTGATAGAAGGAAATGCATTTCCATATGTTTCATTGATTCCATACAGAAAAAAATTATGTCGCAAAATATCCCGTCGGCCGTGTGTTTTTGGTGGAGGGAGATCGTCAAACCACAAAGCCTCGTCCCAGAATACGCCCTTGATCGGAAGTAGGCATTCAATGCTGCTTTGCTAGTAAAAAATATCCACACGCTATTCAGAAGTTTGGAGTTTTTTTAACTTGTACAGCAAATACTTGTTCAGTTACGATAACTTTATTTAAAGCTTAATTTGCTGATTTTTATTTAAAAAACGATGCGCCTTTGATGATACATTTGTGTATCTTGATTTGCTTTGTAGAGATGCATGAACTATCAAAGACTGACAAGTTTAAGTACGGCCTTGCCGATGACAGTACTCTACACGAATCCAGTGTGAGAAGCTGACCTCTGCTAATGAACTGGAAAAAAGAGGAATAGTAGCGATTTCCTGTCTATCGAAGATTTGGAAGTGACTACCATTTAGGGACGCAACAACTAGCTTTTCTAAAATACAGCACTGTAACTTAACTAACAAAATGATTAAGACCAAGCCTCGATTGCTACCCACATGTTTGGGGTGCTGCCTACACTGTCCACAGTCGATGCTGTTCAAAGGGGGCTACCCGATTGATCGATGATGTTTTTCTAATAGCCAGCCTCGGATTTGCGATCTGGCTCTCTTATACGTCTATGTCACCGGGCTTTGCTCCTCAGAGTTGTCCCCCATGACACTGTCGTGCGTTGTGCCTACCAGATGAACCCGCCAGGTTTCTGCCGTCCGTCTGTCCAACTTCGTACATCTAGATCTGGCCGTTATGACCGATCATTTCTTCTTAGGATTGTATAAACAAAAACGCGTCAACAGTTCATAAAGTATTAAGTTCAGTAAAAGTTAAGCCCTCAGAGAAAAAAAGTCGTTACGAACATGCGCAGCAGAGAAATAAAAAATTAAACGTGTTAAACAGACCCGTACAATTAGTCCGTAGTCGTTCCTTCCTTGCCCTACCGTTAGTACCGCTGACCTGGTAACGTTGTCTCGTCCCATATCTAATCGCACGACGTGTCACCGCGGTGCCGTTGCAGTACGGATAGAACAGACAACTGAATCGGCACGCTCGCACAGAGAGCAGAAGCAGGACGGGCATCGAAAACAGTTTTAAAGGCAAAAAAATTAATGTTGAGCAAAATTGTGCTATAGATGCGTAGAAAGAGGGATTGGGGGCGTACAAATATACTTAAATCAAAACAACTTTTTTCTGAATGATCAAGAGCATCTGAAATGACAAAAAAACGAAATTTTTCGCGATTACATTACTTCCTCGCCAGTGACATAGGGAGTAAAAAGTCTATTATGGACCAACACTTATTCGGACCTACGTCTATGTGAAATTTTTTTAGACATTAAAATGCTGAATGCTGACAATATTCAGTAACTCACTGCGCAGTGAAACATTTCGAACTGCTTCCCTGCCTATAACATAACGATGACAGCCCAACGGATAATTGGCTGGTTTTGTTTTAGTCCCCCAATGACAACATGTTATTATAAGCAGATATTTATACACCTATACATTTTTATGCCGAATGATTCGCAATCAGGTATCCTCATCATAAATATAGCTAAGGTCAGGATGACGGTTAGGATGGATCATTCTTTGGTAATTTTTGCACGCAAATCCTTTGTCTGGGTATATGCGTACTTGAGTTTTTATGAAGCTTTGTTAGGAACATTTGTAGTAAAAATCTTACAAACATTTTATGCGGAAGAAGAATGATTGGAATACTGACACGTCTGAGATGTTTTGGAATATTGAATAAGCCGATGATCTAAGATCTAACGTTCTTTTATTGATGAATTAGGTATATCTACATGGGTATATGTAGAAATCATAGGATGTGTTTATTCATTGCCAATTTGAAAAAAAATATCCAAAATGATCTGTATATGTTACACTGATAGGAAACAAGATACATTTTTAAGATATACGGATTATCAAGATAAGTATTGTTATTGTTTTTGAACCCGGGAGTTTCCTACCAGGTTAATATTTGTAGAAACAACACTAAAATTAGTCCCTCTAAGAAAAAAATTAAATGGATCAAGTCAGTGAAACAGAGCCCTCCAATTGAAATTTGCATTTTTAACATGATCTGGGAATTTTCAGAATTTGGCCCCCATGGAAGAAATTGCTATTTTCTGCTCTTTAAAACCTTTTGGAGGCAGGTACACGTTCACAAACAGTTATTCCTTACCGATAAATGCCCCCTTCCTCCCTCAGAGAAATTTCTGAAAATGATATCTGAAAAAACTTCCCCCATAACCTACAATCCCCTAACCCACAATTTTTTCCATTTTTTTTTTGAATATATTACCCTCTGAATCGTGAAAAGATTGTGTTTAACCGATTTTTATTTTTCTCGTTCCTTGCCCACAGCTCCGCCGCCATTGACTAGACCAGTTGTCATAAACCATGATGCATTTTCATCCTTGTCATAGTAGTAACCGTATATGAAAATTTCATCAAAAACTCAGCGGTACTTTCCAAGGATCAGCAGACAGACCGATGCGCAGACACACAGACAAACTGATGTAAATGAGTGATGTACATGTCATATAACATCCAAAAAACACAATACCACATTTTCGAAATTTTCTGCGATTACAATACTTCTTCGCCGTTGGCGAGAGAAGCAAAATTGTGTACCGAATAGTGCTTCTGTAATTAGTGCTTATTCATTCGGATTGAAGACCGTTTTTATAGCGTACAAACATTTTTATGTGTGATTTGGAAACGCGTGCATAAGAATCTACTTGCCCCAGTATTTTTATTACGCTTTGAAAAATATAGGCTTTTGGGAGACACACGGAATACTACCACTGTCAGGCAACAGTAAGGAACTTATGGTACTGTTACGCATGTGTACTTATAAGTTAACTTGAGCTACTATGAGTTCAAAAACATATAATACAAGAAGCAAAAACATTGGCAGTCTTTGAACAACTCACCAAAACAAACAAAAAATGCAGTAAAGTAGATTGATAGCAAACATGTAATTAATCTTTTTCTAAGAATAATTGGTGCCAAGTAAAAAATGGAAGTAAAAATAGATTTCCTCAAAATTGTGAAAATTTTCGTTTTGAGGTTGATAGACTCTAAATTGCTATACTCAAAATGATCAATATCAAATTTGCTAAGGGTCTTTTTTAGTTTAGAATCATTGGAAGAATTTGAAAAAAAATATATGGAGCGGAAAACTTATGGATTGATTAATTTTCTTCAAACTTTCTCCTTCATGAAAATTATGAAAAAAGTGTGTGAGGTACTGTCTACCTAGGTAAAATTATAATCGCGAAAAATGTTCAAATTGAGATATTGGGTGATATGCATAAAGGTGAGTGAGTTCTCAGAAGTAGCGACTCCATATTGTAGCGAGTAACTACTCCTGTTAGGGAGAGCCTACTCGGTTTTGATATGCATAAAATATTTATCGAGAAACGGAGAGGCTACTCAAGTTCTAATGAAATTCTTGAGTAGGCACTCTGGTTTTCGAGTTCCGACTTGTATTTTGTTGTCTCGCCGAATTGGCAATTTCTCTATTGCGAGCAGTTACTACTGTATACCGGTAAACGTTTGTGTCGGTGGTGTTTAGGTCGATTATTATTTGTTCATTTACATGATGTCAACCTATTCTGAAGACCATTCATCTGAAAATCAAATAGTATTTGTTAATATAATTAAACATCCCGGAAATCAAAAATAAACGACGTAAGGCGGTTGAAGAAATAAAAGAAAAGGTAGAAGCCGAATTAGGAGTTAAATATAATGAAGGGCAGATTTGGAAGAAGATTCAAAACATAAAAACCAGATTAAATTTAGATCATGCTAGATACTTACTTAGACCCGAAAGCCATGAAGAGTTCTTGACATTGCATCTCTTCTAAATTGACCTCTTTGACGTATCACTCCATTTGCATAGTCGGCAGTATGTTGGTTATGTATTTCTTCTTGTTCGCCATCTCCCGGTATATAAACAGCAAAATCTTTATCATTAAGGTGCTTAGCCACATTATGCAAGATAAAACATCTCATGACAAGGGAGGGCACTTTTTCTGTATCGACGCGTATTTTGTTATGTAGAATGGGAAAACGCTGTTTTAGTTGAACGAAACATCTCTCTATTATAACTCGTTCTCTCGTAAACAGCCGATTATATGATGTTTGTTCTGATGTTTCTGCAATCCTAAAAGGAGTCATGAGCCAAGAAGCTATACCATACCCAGAGTCTCCCAACAAAACAGCACTAGCCCTATTCCATTTCATAACGTTGTATATATCAGAATTCTTCCATATCCGAGAGTCGTGTACAGATCCTGGCCAAGAAACATCCACACTTGTGAACTCTTCGTTTGAATTGCACGTTGCTTGTACATTTATACTAGCAAAGTTCTTTCTGTTCACATATTTGTCGGCATGCATAAACGGCTTCAGAATAGGTATATGGGTGCAGTCGATAGCACCAATAGCTGAAGGAAAATTGAACGTTTCTTGCCACTTATTTTTAGCATTGTGTAGATCTTCACATGAGGTTGGGAAGAATCTAATCCAAATATTCGACTTCTGCACAATGCGTGTTATAACGTTGGTAACGGTTCGGGATACCGTAGATTGATGGACACCAATATCTTCTCCTATGCCAATTTGAAATCCTCCCACGTATCGTAAAAAACCCTCATTCTTTCTATATTGCTCAAAGCACCGCCCCTATATTCTTCTGTCTCTCCAAGAAAATTGTTACTTTTTTAACTTACTTATTTTAACTTTACTAAACCGATATAAGGCCCGATAGTCTACTTCCCTTGATTCCCTACGATCTTTGAACACCTTTGAAGGCATAAATTCGGCCATTTCGTGAAGACATCCACTTCTTATAAAGCTGAGTCTACTACTAAGGTATCTCGCATTTCTTTAAGTATGTACTCAGCGGTCGGAGTGGACGCTCGCTTTTATGCATATAAAAATTAAAGTCGGCACTCAAGGAGCGAGTACAGCCTCACGGAAAGAGTAGGAACTTATGAGTGTGAGCTTCTACTTAGATGTTTATGCATATCAAATGGAGTGGCTACTTTAAAAATGCGAGTCAAAAGTAGCCACTCGCCTTTATGCATATCACCCAATGTTTTTTGAGTTTGATATGAAATGTACATCACAAAGAACCATGTCACTTATTTACTTTGTCTGTTTGACGATCTGTCTGTCTATCTGTCCTGAAGTTCTTGGCATTTTTCTATGCCAAGAATTGCACGCTTTTTGAAAAACGGCCCAGTAACGGCGAAGGAAAAAATGCAAACAAAAAATAAATATCTCATACTTAGTTTTTTGTCGTTTCAGATAATCGTGATCATTTTGGAAAAAAATATGGGGCGGGGGATTGTAGGAGGGTGAGGGAGGGCAGATCTTCAATTTTTGAAGTTACATATGTATACGCTCAGAATTCCAGTAATTCCAAGCAACCTATTAGCCATACTTGCCATACTTGACACACAATAGGTTTCCCCGTAAATTTGTGGCTTTTTTCACAGGATGTGACTTGTAGTGAACCTAGTAATCCTTTATGAGCTTATGATGGCGTTGCATACGAAGTGGATAACTGGAAAAGATTATCTACTTCCATGTCACCTCCTATGACTTTAGGCGATGAAGTACTGTAATTGCGAGAATATTCAAAAATCAGATATTAGAGATTTCTTGTCACATGACTCCTATATCTGTATCACTCATTTCCGTCTGCCTGTCAGTTCAGATACGGGCAGTAACTCCTGCTCATCTTCGATTTTTGAAAATTGGACGTTAGGTATTGCGGGGATGGGGGGTTAGTATCAGTGGAAATATGCCCTCTTATTAAAAGGTTTTTCATCTTTCTTATGTACTAGGCACATGTTAGACATAATAGTCACTGAGATTTTGTTTTAGATTTATTTTCTATAGTTTGAGATGTAGATATGTGAACATATAAAAAGTTTCGACACCACTTGAGTTGCTTAAATAGTTTTGACCAATTCCCTTCTTGAAATTTTGGAATGTTGGTGTTTTTGAGCCGTGCAAAAAATAAGACCTTCTCCTTAAGGCTTATAATCAGGTAAATCATTGCTAAACTTAATATATAGTGCTTTTCAAAAAGGTCCTCCCCCTACTTATTTTTTAAACGCAATCTGAAACTCGGGGCGATAAAGTTGTTTCATAAACATCATATTTAGCGTAAAAATGACAGTTGAAAGTCTCTAACGAGTACATTATAGCAATGAAATATAAAAGCGGTATATTTCAAAATGGCGCACTGGCAGACTGTCAAACTTTAGCATTTGTGTACATCGACTCGCTTATAACTCATCAACCAGTCATCAAAACTCGTGTGTTATATCAAATTTCCCTCTTCGGGAGCATCCGAATATGCAGAATGCGGAACATCCCGTTTAAGCAAAAATGTGAAAATCTGTCAATTTCTTTAATAGGAATTTCCCATATTTTATGGCACACTCAGATAGACTGTTCCAAACGAAGAAGATTGGAATAACCATAGCATCTTGATGGGAGCGATCCAATGTACAAAATCACTTTGCTTGCGTATCCAAGCAGTCTGGCCATTTGGAAGACAGTAGGTTATAAAGTATTAACTAATGGCCCATGAAATTTTCAGCTAACACTTTAAAGGATGGCGAGTACCAATCAAGAGAGTACAGAACTGACGTAAAGAAATAGATACAGACAAAAAAAATTCAATCAAAATGGGACAACAAAATACATTATTACGAGTATGACAGATCTAATCTCCGATTGAGACATTAGTACAAGCAGATAAAATCGATGATGTGAAATAGATAAATCCACTTACCAGCCCTTAATCCCATTAAATCAATCACTATATCGTTCCTTCAAATGCTTTTTTGTGTACGTGAATGTATATCGTATTACTGATAAATAAAATTTAGATTTTTCTTATTCAACATACTTTTCTGTCTACTCATATTTTATTAATTTCAGTTAATGTAGAATATTATGTTTAATGTATGTTATGTATTCCTTAGTATTTTATGTTACATGCTCATGCAGTTGTAATAATGGATACCGAATCAAATATTATTAATATTATCATGCTAAAAATATATTATAATGTATTGGTAACTTTTTGAGTTTTCTTTATGAATGATGAGATGATATTTTTAATACTGAGCTACGGAACAACTGAACTCATCAATTTCATATATTTTCAGCAAAATACTAATTCATTTTTTAAAGCTTTTGGTTGATGCTTACCACCCTTATGCTAAAATGTAGTATTCATGAATCAAATCAATCATCCCGAATTTCAGATTTCCACCCTGGCCCGCTCAACAAATAAAGTGAAAAGCACTGTATTTAGTCCACTATATATTCTGGCTGTTGTGAGTTGTTGAAATAACTGGCATGACGCCAGTATTTTAAGAAAATGGCGTCAAGTAGATTGACTTTGTATGTCCCACGCCTTCGAAACAACTTCTAGTAGAATTTTCCATGGAGTGCAATGATACTATACCGGTAATAGTTCGTCAACAATGTTTGATTAGTACGTAGAATTCAACATAAAAAAATTGACATACACCCTTCTCCACCCTCCTATAGCCCACACCCTCCAATGTTTTTTGGAAAAAATGGCCAGGACACTCTGAAACGTCAAAAAAAAAGGTTTGAACCGACTTTGGCATAGTGTAACCTTATGTGAAAATTTTATTAAAACTAATATTATACATCGTACTATCAAGAAACATGTAAATCTTTCCCCATTAGTCAAAACCAAATGAAATTCTCAACACAAAGGTGCCACAATCAGCGTTTTGTAGGTTATGAATGCACATAACATGAAAATTCGTTCTAGCAGGGTCGAATCCTGCAACTGTATGTTTCGTGAAACGCTCGAAAACTTGGAATTGAACATTTTGTAGAAACAAAGCTACTGTTGAAACAATTACATGTAATATACGCTGATCAAACAGCTAATATTATTCAAATCAATCCCATTTGCATCAGTTGACGCCACTGGCGCACATTGTTAAATTATTGCCATTATGAACCAGCAACATGTAGCGGAAACAATTTGCCTTCGGATCAATATATTGTATTTAACAAATAGAGGATCGAATTATGCTTTCATTGATAGTTTTAATAATAGATGCTACGATGATATGCCTCCCATTAGATGCTATAATGGAGAATATACACGCTGCGATGAAGATTACAATATCGTCCCAGTAGCCTGTGGACAGGAAGAAGAAAGAAAGAACGGGGCGAAATGGGAGTAGATACAGCGATTGTAGTCAAAAGGTTATTTTGGAAAAACGAACATAGATAATAAGGAAAAACATTTGGATTGGCTGCAACAATTGTCAAAGTTTGTTTCCTTATTTTAAGCAGTTAGATACAAATGGTTTGTACACAAGTAAGAATTTCAAAAAATATGATAAACGTACCTACTTCAATATAAACAGGGATAATACACAGGAAAAAATTACAAACCTAATTAGACATGAAAAAAGTTTCATTAAGATTAAATAATGTCATACAAAAACTCTCTCTCAGTTCATTAATTTGTGTCTTATGTAAACTATTCGCAGGGACTGATTTTATGCTAATAGGCAATTTGTTGTAAAACGAAATACACTTGAAGATGGGTGAAGTGATGTTTGTAATAAATTGCGATACCTCGTGTTGATATTATGGCGCAAAGACCTCAAATTCATCAAAGAGCAACCCAGCCCACATAAGACAGTGTGATATGTAAATATATGGTAGAGTCAATACTCGCCCTCTGATAAATGTAGGTTTACAATACTCTCTAGGGGTAAGATTGAACAGTAGTTCGAAATTCGCTTCTGAGGGATGATCAGACAGATACATGCACTGCTTTTGCCCCAGCGCAAAATATTGAGCAACGTATCGTCGCCAATAACACGAAGTGGCGTATCTCAGAAAAAACAAAAAAGTCGATTTTATTACTTAAAAAAGCTTGCTCTTTAATATCACGAAGTGGCATAAGTCAATTTCTAATACTTTCAGAGTTATAGAAAAATCATATTAGACTTATTTCATTTTAATAGGAAATTAAATTTCACGAGAGAGCTTAAGTCCTAAGTTACGCCAATTTGTGAAATTATAAAATATACATATAATTCTACATCGTAACTATCTTTTTAACTTCACCTTCAGCACGAATACAGCTTTTTCAGTTTAAGAAGACAAAAACTTAAGTTAAAAAATATTCCCCTCAAAGTTCTGAGTGCAGACTCAAAAATTAATACGAAAAAAATATGTGGATTTGTAGTCGCTATGTGAAGGAGATATACCGTTAGTTCGTTTACAGGAATATCAAAGATTCTGTTTAATAATAATAATAATATTAATAATAGTAATAATAATAATAATAATAATATATTTCCATTCGACTTGTACAAACAAGTATGGGAAAGTGTCATAAATAAATAAACATTACACTGAATGGGTTGAGTATACATATAGATATGTATATCTATATATATACTTTCGCATCTTAAATTTACATAAATAAATCACGTCACATTATTAAAAACATATCTAACAATATTAGAGTACATGAACAGCACGACAAGAGCACGATAAAATGTAAATTAAAATTGATGATTGAGGTACTCGTCAACAGAGTAAAATGGATATAACAACAAATCTCGTACTTTGCGTTTGAAGACTGAAATAGATACTATGCCCTTAATCGACACGGGTAAGTGATTAAACAATCTCACAGGTATGACAGAAGCCCCTTTGGAGATAGAAGGCAAGCCTGTGAGTAGGTATAACTACATTGTGGTTTGTACGGAGGTTATAACCAGAGGTGATAGCCA